CTGTTGGAAAACTCCAGCTTCGAAGCTCTCAGCTCCCGGCTGTGCGTCGAAACGGGGGAGTCTCGCATCCTGGGCAGGTAAGCCTCATTTCCACAACACTAAACATCCTCTTTTAGGTGACAGCAGGGCAGCAGACTCTTTGAAGGGGGGTGGGGGGGTTGTGATCTTGCATTTTTGCAGCTTTACTCGGCTGTCAAACCAGCGTTGCCTTCGATTTCAGCCCCAATTTCTGTTTACGGAAAGTTCCAAATTTGTTCTCTTTCACATTTGTCTCCGAAAAGTGACTGAAAGACGGCAGGAAAAGTGTCCTTGTACTGGAGGACCGTCATTGGCGGCATGAGGGCGGGGAACAAGGGGCGGGGTGTGTGTGTGTGTGTGTGTGTGTGTGTGTGTTTGTGTGTGTGTCTGGGGGGTGTGACGGCACTCAGACTACACAACTGGGCCAGTGGAACAAACGGCCGTCTGTGGGTTACGCAACGAGAAGGCGCTTTACGACTCTGAAGATGTTGTTTACTGTGCGTACTGTGAGGCCTATCAGCGGGCCCCCGGTTATGTAAACCCTCCAGCGGAGTCCAGAGATACCGACGGTGTTGGTTTCATCAGATACAGGCTGGCGGAGATATGCGGAACGTGTGTGTTTCCGTGTGTGTGTCTGTTTCTGTGTGAGAGTGATGACACCGAGCTATGCCGGTTGTGGCTGAGAGTGACGCGGTGCACGCTGTCCTCCCGGTGCCCCGTGCTTATTTTGAAGGCTGTTGTTAAGGCAGCCGTGTACACACACACACACAAACACACACACGTTACGTGATAGCTGAGTGCTACGGCCAAGGCTGCCTAGAGGATTTGCAGGGCAGCTGTAGCAAAGAATAGGCATCTTTTTAAGTAATTTAAACTGACTTACAACTGACTTTTATTTATATTTATGTATATATACAGTGGGGGAAATAACTATTTGACCCCTTGCTGATTTTGCAGGTTTGCCCACTTACAAAGAATGCTTATTTTTCCTCATCAGATGGTTATCAATTTTGATAAATTCATATGATGTGATTTTCTGGAATTTTCTTTGGGATTCTGGCTTTCACTGTTACAATGTACATATGATTAAAGTTATATATCGTTGCATTCTTTGTAAGTGGGCAAACTTGCAAAATCAGCAAGGGGTCAAATACTTATTTCCCCCACCGTATATATAAACACACACACACACATATAGAAGCTTTAAATGACAGAGCACGGGACACTCCTCCATTCTCTTACCTGTGAGGAAGGGCTCACAGAGAGGGGCCGGTGTTGTGGTGATCTTCGTGGATCCTGTGTCTTTGTGGTCGTCCGGTTACTGGCCGTTTGTGTGGGAAACACAATCCCCACCGGCCTAAATTTACCCCTCCAGGGTCAGGACGCGGGTGATAGCTGCTCTGCCTTGTGTGACCTTTCCGTGGGACGGGGTGGGGGGTAGGGATGGGACGGTTTCTGAAAACCACCTGAACCGTTGGGTTCGACTGTCTCGGTTCGGTTCGCTTGTGTTGCGTTCGGTTCATGCTGCTCCTTTTTCT